AATGTAATGGATTTAAAATGTATTTTCAGGCAGAGGTACACCCCCCACAAAACAAAGAAACTTTGTAAAGATCCCACTCCATCCAGTTCCTGGAGGATCTCTCTCGTCAGAGAGCTCACAGACAGTGACTTTCCCTGCCCTGTCTCGAGAGACAAGCTTGGCAGCATCAGATTTCTAAGGCTCAGAGCCTGACCCAGAGATACCATTAACCAACATTTTGTCCTCAGCTCTCAATTACTTTGGATCTTTCAGAAAACACGCATGTTTAATTAAAGTTCTTGAAGTCCCTTGCTTCCCTTCCAACAGAATTGCGCTGCAGAAAATCAGGAATTTCCCTCCCAAAGCCCCCAGTTAATGCATTGCAATACTTCTCACTTAAGGGGCTTTTAATGCTGAAAAAGGGTAAAAAAATTTAGAGAAGCCACCAAAGGCCAGGCACAAGGGGAAAAAAAGCCAAAAATTCCTATCTAGATGCTGCTGTACACCGAGACAATATAAATCAGACAATTCAGTCCTGCAGGGCAGTACTGTGCAGAGTATAACCAGTAGGGGAAAAAAAACCCAAACCCTTCTCAGTTTTATGTCACCTTCTATGTTTATTAACTGTATCTAGTTAATAAAAAGAACCTATCAAGTCACAACAAAAAAATTAGGTATTGGTGATCAGATTTTGGAAAATAAGAAAAAGCAAAACCCACGATATCAAAGGTTTCAGCTCTCCCATCCATCTGCACAGCTAAATGTCAAACAATTCCAGAGTTTTCTGAAGATCCAACAAGCAGCTGAGAGCAGGCAGCTCCACCTCCAGCACCTATGTGTTCACCTTCCCTGCGAGCACCAACACTGGAAACTCATCGCTCCAAGGTGAAAGAACAGGGTAGGCAGGAAAAAGGGGCTGTGCCCCAGTGGGAGATCCTGGCATGGCCGTGAGCTCTTCGCAGGGAGGGGTTGGGGACACAGGACCAGTGGCAAGGTGATGGAGGAGGCAGCAAAGGAGAGATACGGAGACATGGAAGAAATTGCAGAGATGTCACAAAGACAGCAGAAGGGAGGGCAGTAGCACACAGAGCCTACAAAGTGCACACAAGGAGCCCCAAGGCATGACAAAGTCACCTAACCAAACTCGTGCGTGTGCAGCTTCCCACTCTATTCAAGGGCTTTTAACCAAGTAATTCTTTTCTACCTTCTACCTTCTCCAGAATGTGATGCAGCCAGTTAGCACTAACTGTCCAGGTTATATAGTGTCCTTGCTCTTGGAAAGACACCTAGAGCTAACTGAAAGATGAGAAATGTGGGAGTGGAAAAAAAAACAGAAATCACAAGAAAACCCTTCTTAGGCACTGTAAGGTTCTGACCAGCTCTGCTATTAGCAGAAAGTGCTTGCTGACTAGTACACAAATAGGCAATGTCCAACTCACAGCTGTTGTGCAAGCATTTGTAGTGGCACGCACTAATGGCGTAACAAGAGGGACACGGCCGTAAAACCATCGTGGGATGCAGAAGGAAGACAGGCGCTGCATGAGAAGCAACAACGTGCGCGCTTCAAGCCAGACAATCACGGTACTTTCAGCGGGCTTGGGCAAAGAAGCAGCGGGGAGACTAAAAATCACGCAGACTTCTGGTAG